ACCTGTACAAATTTAAAAAAACAAGATACAACATGTTAATAAGTGAGCTTTAGAGGTGCTTGTACGCAGTTTTTATATATACCCTTGGAAAGAGCAACGCCTCCCCCTGCTCCCAGTCCCACTAAGCCAACCATCTATTAGCATACAGACATCAGAGTGGCATCAATGTTCTCATCTAAATCTTTGCAAGAAAGCGAATACTCAACTAATAATCAACTGTCACTTGTAACTTTAAAATCTGTGCATCCGTAACTATAATAATTATAAGACTATAATTTGCTATAATATTATTGAGGTAGGCTATATACTGAACATACTGTACTAGAGTAAACCATCACTTCTCATGTGTCTCATATATTTTGGTGTGTGTGCAACAGAGTGGCGCATGACTACTACAAATACCATCCCATGCCGGAGGTGAGAAGGCCTGATCACTGCTCTCACACACACATTACTTTGACAGATCACTGCTCTCTCTCTCTCTCTCTCTCTCTCTCTCTCTCTCACACACACACACACACACACACACACACACACACAAACACACAGATACACTCTCATGTGTAACAATGCCGCCCTCTATAGATCAGCAACTGGATGGTTCAGATGGCGAAGGATCACCCTGATGTTGTGAGCATAGTGGAATACGGACAGACCTATGAGAAGAGGGTTATTAAATTGCTCAAGGTAAAGCAAACTTTTAACTGTTTCAGGTCAGAAATGAGCAAATATCAGACGGATACAGGAGAGTAGTGATGTTTTTGCATGTGTTTGTGTTAACCAGTAAAATAAGAGGAATTTGTCTTGCAGATTGGTGTGAATACTGGAGAGAAAAAGAAAGCTATCTGGATGGACTGTGGGATACACGCCAGGGAATGGATCGCCCCGGCCTTCTGTCAGTACTTTGTCAGACAGGTAAAAAAAACATCAAGTCTAAAGTGGATGACGACGAAGTTTATATCCCACATATCCTCCGATATCTCAATCTGACCTGATGTTTTTGTTCACCAGATCCTGGAAGCATACAAAACAGACTCAAAAATGGGAGAAATGATGAAGAACATTGACTTCTACGTGACCCCTGTGCTCAACGTGGACGGCTACATCTACTCCTGGACTAACGAGACAGTCAGTGCTTGTATTTGATTAAAAAAAAAAGTATGGTTCTGAGTTGTGCCTCAAGAAGCCACAGGTGAACAGGATACAAAATAATGATGTAGGTCTATTGAAGCAATTGAACTGCAGTTAAGTAAAAAATAAATTGAGATTTCTGATGTTCAACATGGCCCAAGTACAATCCAAAGCAGCATTTAAGTATGTACACAGTTGTTAATCACTAAACTGATAAAACGATTAGAACCAGCTGATTTAACAGACTCATTTTGACCCGTTTAGACTCGACTGTGGAGGAAGAACAGGTCACCAGGAACCAGCAGCTGCAATTGTTACGGCACCGATCTCAACCGGAACTTTAACGCCAACTGGGGCAGTGAGTCTCGTCGTGGTTCTCCATTTCCTTCTTCATACAGCCTGTTGCTTTGATAATCGTGAACAGTACCCAGTAAGAGTCTGCTGGACTAATTTAATGTCCCATGATGCTCTTTCACAGGACTTCTTGTTTTAATTTTACATTACATTTATTTCATAATTTAATAAATTCAGTTAATAATCTTTGGTTTAGTTAAAGCTGCTGTAATTTAAAAAAAAAAAGCCTACTGTACCTACCTGCCCAGCACCAAACAGTTAGTGAACATAATGGGGCATTTAGCAGCTCCAGAGCCAAATATTTCCCTTCGGAAATGGTAAAAGCCAAAAACTTAAGAGAGAGTGAATATTGGACTTCAGTAACAGGACTCTAAATGAATGCTAATGTTGCTCAGTATCTCCTGGGTGGTAACATGGTAACATAGGTAACTGTAAGTTCTGTTTCTGCTGCCCCCAAGTGGCCAAAAATCTCTTAATGTAGCTTTAAACTTAAATGTTTTGTGTACATTTAAATGGAATACATTGAATTTCTAAGATTTGAACATGCAACACCGAAGCGTTAACATGTAAAAACGTGAACTAGCTCAGGCTGTTACGAGAAGAAGTTGTGTCCCTACTACATTTGATTCAGATTATGCCTTTTATTCGGCTTCTTTCACAGCAATCGGGGTAGAGAGTGACTGCTGCTCAAACATCTACTGCGGGACTCAGGCAGTGTCTGAGCCCGAGGCCCAGGCCGTCACTTATTTTGTAGGAAGCCGGAGGGAAGACTTCCTGTGTTTCCTCACCATCCACTCCTACGGCCAGCTGCTCCTGGTTCCCTATGGACACCCCAACTCCACTGCCCCCAACTACAAAGAGCTGGTATTTACATCTACAAACACAACGATGCATGTTTTACACATTTCTGAGAACAAATGTGAGTGCGCACACAATATTCTACATTATATCTGGATAGAAAGTGCATACGCATCTTTATAGCCTGAGTATCACTGCATGCTTCTACATTAATAAAGGGGATACTCTGCATATTGCCATAGAAACTGAGCTTATGCAGATCACAAAAACCCACAGTAAAACTGTGACAACCTGTGCAAAACACTGCAATACACACGTTAATTAATATTAATTTAATTCAAGGTTTTGGATGTAATGTTGCTTGTTGGATGCCTGGCAAAAACCATTAAGACTTCACACAGAGTACACACACACGATAGTACAGTACGACTGATATCAGTAACACACTTGGCATCCAAGAGCGGTCAGTCCTCATCTGCCAAGACAGAACAGAACCAGGAGGAAGCTGTGAAGCATTGATAGTGGAGAACAAGGGGCTGGTTGTTGTTGGGATGTAGGCTTGTGCAGGTAATAACCCACTAGAGCCACAAACATACGCAAACAGATACAATTATGCAAAACAGGATTACGTCCATTCGTCTCTCCGGCTTTGGTGTGACTTTAGAGGAGTGGAAACCGGCACGTTTCCTAAGCCACCCGTGTTTTTTTAGGCTTGGTAGGATGCAGAGTCACACCAGATGGTTCATGGATGATGTGAGGAGGTTTTCAATTAGGAATCTCAAATGAGCGACCCTGGATCAGGATTGGTTTATGAACACTCTCAAACTGATGCAATAACATCCTGTTGGCTCTTCTTGATCAGGCAGACTGAGTGACGCCGGGCAGATACTGAATGTTTTACAATATATGGGATGTGTCTGCTGACAGGAACAGATTATATTTACACACAATGTAAACAAGAATATATATATATACTGTATATTGTAAACAGATATGACTGCAATAAATCAACTGATATATATTTTTATAGATTTAACTGTCGAGCTCTGGGGTACCTAGAAATTAAGTTGGGAAATTAACTTTTTTAAATGTGAAAATCTAGCCAGACACTCAATAGTGAATCATTATTTTGTGTCTGAAATCTACCAGCCTCTTTCATATTTTATGAATAAAAATGCTAATGTCTCACCCTTGCCTGGTTCCCAAGAATATCCCAGTATCTTTACACCAGTGCACTTCCAGATTAATGAGCAATTAGCAGATCTAAAATGTACCTTCTGACCCATTTAAAATCTAAAAGACAAAACACACGTGTTGGTTTTTCTGGAAATAAACTGTAAATAACATCAGCTCGCAGCTCTTCACCACAGGTAACATATTCAACCGTTCTGACTGGGTGCAAAAACGTTTCACACTTATCAATGACGGCGTCACAAGCATGCACTCACATCCCCACGTGTCTGTCATGGGCATCATATCCTCATCCTCATTAATGCTGTTTGATGACGCTCCAGAAAAAGAGTACAGAGACAAAACCAGTGATTCACAGCTTCGAATGAAGTAAAAAAGGTGCTTTTGGAAACTGATCTTTAATGTAACAACTTCCTTAACACACTGATTGCTTTCATTCATGTGCTGTTTATCAGCATTAAGCTTCACTCTCTGACAAAAGCCAATGTCTGGATCCTCAGATGGATGTGGGTTTGGCAGCAGCAGACGCCATCAGGAAGGTCCACGGGAAGAGCTACACTGTAGGAACGTCACCGGCTGTATTGTGTAAGTCCACACTTCAGCTCAATATGGATACGTTTCCGTATTGTCTTTCATGTCTCATCAGTGGCTACTAGAACGCTTACTGGGAAGGTTACACTCAGATTTCCCTCTTTTCTACAGACCCCAACTCTGGTTCATCCAGAGACTGGGCTCGCATGCAGGGGATCCCCTTGGCCTACACCTTTGAGCTGAGAGATGACGGCACCTTCGGCTTCGAGCTTCCCGAGGATCAGATCAAGCCAACCTGCGAGGAGGCCTACAGCGGAGCCCTGCACATTATCACCTACGCCCACGACAAGGCCTTCAACGGGGCCGTGGCGACCGCTGCTGCAGCCCTGTGGACCACGCTGTTAGCAGTGGGTGTCACTGGCACCAACCTGATGTGAGGCACATGAGGGAGGCTGACCAAAGACTGCGTAGACGGCACTAGTGTTTAGTTTAGGTTTTAAGCTAGTTTCAGAAACAGCTTTTATCCTCATTTGTTGTTGAGTGTTGAAACGTATCTGTCAATGTGACGTGCATCCACTGTTCTGAAGTGTCTTTGAAATGTTTATACCTGTTCCTAAACTTCCAGGAATGTCATATTGCATAAGCCAAGAGTTGATGCAATAGAATATTCCCAGGTTTTATTTTTTAAGAGCAATAATAACTTAAAAATAATAAAAATCCTTGAATATGTTCCACTTTTCTTGCATTAATGTGTGTGTTTTAAACATTTGAGAAGGCCATTCACTTACTTTAACACAGAAAATAGAAACATCTAAATTACATTTAGTCGTAGCATAATTTGCTTAAAATCCAAATAAATGCACAGCTTACAATCTGTATGTCACAAACTCCTAAAAATAGACAATAACAGTTCATAATTCTTGCAGGAATGATAGTATGTACCATAACAGAACAATGTCTGAGAGACAGCAGATATATAAAAAAAAGAGGTTGAGTTTTGAAGAGGTGTGTATGTTTTATTTTTTTGGGGGAAGGACAGTTTCACCGCTGAGTTTCAGTGTTTCCTACTGTGCTCCTGAACGGCTGGAAGCCTTGCTGTCTCAGACCGGCTAGCGGCAAGAAGAGCTGCTCATCAGGAGGGAACCGGTCCCACTGCGTCCACGTCCAACCTGGGAGGGAGAGACCAACACATTCTTCATTATTACCTGCTCAGAGAGGTGGAAATATTGTTTCCCCCATTTAAGACCTGTTCCACGTCACGTACTCTCGTTCTTCTCCGGCTCCAGGTTCTCTGGCTCTCCTGACAGCTTCCTGTCCAGTTCTCCTCGCATGAATATGGTGACGTAGTGGTACTTCTCCGCCAGTCTGATGGAGTTCACCACTGACGCAAAGCAGACGTTTACCAAACACACTCCTGCTTCCTCCAACACCTCTCTGTGTGCGCACTCCTCCCACGTCTCCCTTTTAGTGACATAAACATGTGTCACAACAACTGGAAGTCACTATATTCAGGTCTTTCACAATTTCACATTTTAGGGTAGGAGATATGGCCTGAAGGGTAGCAAAAACATGACCCAGCCTCACTACCTCTCACCAAACTGCATTTAAAATATAGCAAATTAGTAATTGTGCACACTTAATATGCAGGTACTTGTCATAATGCAAATTCAAAACATGTTTTAAGATTTACTGAACTGTTTGGAAGAATTCGGTATAATGATAATTGACTAAAATGGGTTTATTTCATTATAATCTCTATTATGATGACAGGAAAGCGCGTCAAGTCTTTGGTTTCAAGAAGAGTTGTTTGCTGTATTTTATGAATGAAGGCTGGTATTAAACATTTATTAACACCCTTACGTCACCTACACACGCCGCTGTGTCAGATTTGTGAATGGAGTTTGCTAACTCGCTAACCCACCTACCCAAACTCCAAGTGGCCACCGGGGAGCTGGTATTTCCCTTTGCCCATTTCGCTTTTCCGTCTTCCCAGGAGAAGACAGCCAGGGTGGGCTGAGTCTGTTACCAGCACCCCGACCCCAACTCCTGGACGTTTCACGGTTTTATTTGACATCTGGTAAAACTTAAAAACGACCCATTAATGATCCGGTTATCCAGTGTCCACTGTAAGCTATTCAGGAGGTACAAGAGGCTTCCCTGCTCTGTACTTCCGTCTTCGCTTTTTTTTTTTTTTTTTTTTTAAATCGTTTTAGGAGTGACAGCCCTTCTATTGTTGTCTTACTTTTGGTAAATTATTATTAGTATTTTATTAAAAAATAACAATATAATGACATATAAGTTATAAGTTGCTGACATAATTGTTATATTTAGTCTAAAAGTGAACTTTCTTTACAGTTAGTCTTTGGATGCATGGCGCCTCTGCAGCACACATTTCTCTCTCTCTCTCTCTCTCTCTCTCTCTCTCTCTCGCCAAAACCTCTATAATTAGTTAGTTTTTATATAATGGACACTAATTACACTTAAAAGCACCAGATGATGCTACTAGAAGAATCGGGGTGCAACACTGCCACCTAGTGACAAGTTGTGCTTAATGTATATTCTAGTTTTAGAACAACAGGTCAGGTTAAGGTCAACTGTAATCACTGTTCTGAACAGGTGTAAATTATTATATCACTTAGATATGGTGGGCATGGGTAGATAATATAGGATATTTTAGTATGATACTGTATGTTTGTCATTGTAAGAGGAGAAGAAAGAGGCTGAGGATTTACTGCTATGTAATCAGATCTGAGGGTTTAATGAAGGTTTATCAGGACAATTTAGCCAAAACAAAAAAAAAATCTGTTTTTAATCCACTTGTAAACCATCTTTTTTTCTTTCTGTTGCTGTCAGATAACAGTGTTTGGGCTAGTTACTCAAAAATATTTAATTTATTACGCATTGCTCATTACTCGTTACAAAAGTAATATTTTTACCTTACTTATTACTCCCTGATAACAGTAATTAGTTACACTATTAGTGTAACTAATAATGAGACAAAGTATCCCTAAATAAAAACCTTATGAGGCCCTGAAACTGGAAAACACTGGTAGCTGAGCACAAACTAGCCGAGGAGAACTAGCTTAGGCTACTTAAAAGTTAAAATATCTCTACTTTAAAGTTACAGCTACTGTTATAAGAGTTTATGCAGAGATATTACACAATACATATTATATGATATATAGATAATTATAGATAATTTTCATTACATGCACTGGCTGTGGCAGTTTTATGATGAACATGGGGCAACAACTCTACAGATGAGCTACCTGGGGGCCCCAGTAACTGTACTACATTTTAGAGGCTCCTATTTATCAAATCTGGGTTTTTACTGAGCTTCAGCTCCAAAGCAGCGAGTGCTTCCTCATCAGTGAAGGGGAGCATGGCCTTAAGACCAGTTCAGTGGAGTCATTAATGGCCTCTGCAGCAGCTGTAGGATTTGCTTGCAGCAGCTGTAGGATTTGGCTCTGCTGCTGCTGGAGGAGGACTCTCTGCTGGGTCTGCTGTAAAACAATAAAAACAGACATTCTGTAGGTATGTCTTGGGTCAGCATTCATTGGCTCTCCTGATGATGGAGACGGAGGTAAAGATCATTCTGGATCATCATCATAATCGTTTTTTACTACCCGGGCAGACATGCCAATCTGCTGCTTAAGTGGTGTTCTCTATTCAGATGATGAATCAAGTGATTATGATTCAGAAACTGTTTCTCAACAAAAAAAGAAAAATAAATGAGCTTGTGGCCGGCAGCCCAGGTTGCACTTGTAGAGGCTGCAGCCTGTGTGGGAAATGAGGCATAGTTAATGGCAACATTAAATGTTAATGGCAGGTTGCTGCTAATGCTGGTGATAATTATTTATGAGGCATTACAGTGTTAATTTCAGTTTATATTAAGCCCCATGGTAATCTATTACTGCTCCAAACTCCATTATGAATATCACTTTTTTAATGTAGTTTCACTAACAGCAGATTATTAATAACAGGTAGAACATAATTTATGATCTTTAAAGAACTGCTGTCATGTTCTGGTTTATTTAGCATGAATTGAAATTAATTAATCCCTTTTACTGGTTCACATGTCCTATCTAGAATACTAGACTAGAATATATTGCCTCTGAAACACTTGGGAACAACTGGACTAGGCTACATAACTGTATATAAAATAGTGAACTAGATCCACCCGGTTAATAATGTAATAATGTCATATACAGTGAACACATTTAAGCACATTTTGCTCTTAATACTTCTGTATTTTTACATTTTTATATGCTGGACTGAAACTCATTTCACTGGTTTTGTGAACTGATGAAGTGATCAGTCCATTCACACCTTTACTCTCCTGGCATTTAGCAGTTTTCCACCGACACCCGTTTTCCCCGCTCGACCTGCCTGGCGGCTCTGGCCCCGCCCCTCTCACCTCTCCCTACCCTCACCTGAGACACACAGCATTTTCCTCCTGTGAGCCCAGACACCTGGACCTCTTCACTTCACTGGATCTTTCTCTTCCTCTAGTCTGCTTTGGGTTTTTAGAGCTGCCAGCCATCTCTCCCTCAGTTTCTTCCCTCCATTGTGTCTGACAGTGGCAGCATGAGTGCTAAACTGTGGACCGAGGAGCAGTTTAACTGCCCTGTGTGTCTGGATCTCCCAAATGACCCGGTCACCATCCCCTGTGGGCACAGCTACTGCATGGGCTGCATCAAGGACTACTGGAGCAAAGACGACCCCAAGGGGACCTACAGCTGCCCCCAATGCCGCAAGTCCTTCTCCCCCAAGCCCTCCCTGTCCAGGAACACCATGCTGGCTGAGGCTGTGGAGCAGCTCCGCAAAGGGGCCAGCAAAGCTGACGTGCGTGAGTCTATGCGAAGCGCCCGTGGGGGTCCCTCTTCCTCATCTAGATCCAAAGGGAAGCTCTCCTCTTCAGCAGTGCCGTGCGACCTGTGCAAAGGAGAACAGCGAGAGGCGGTGAAGAGCTGCCTGGTGTGCATGAGCTCGTACTGCGAGGCCCACCTGAAGCCCCACCAGACCAAGAAGACCCTGAAGGCGCACGAACTGATAGCGCCCACGGGCAACCTGGCTGAGAAGATCTGCACCCAGCACAAGTACCTGCAGGAGTTCTTCTGTCGCCAGTGTCAGATGTTCGTCTGCTGGCTGTGCACCAGCAACCAGCACAAAGGCCACGAGTGTGTGTCCACCAAGGCTGAGCGCTTGGAGAAACAGGTAGGCAGGAAATGGAGGCTGCACTGACCTCAGGCTCCACATGAGAAGCTCCAAAACGCATGGCAGCGATCAGGGGCCGTCGATCAGTTACCAGAGTGCACTGTTGTGTGATTGGCTGGGTAAAACCACTTTCTGGAAGGGTTTTATGTCTTAATCACACAATGCAGAACCAGTTAGGAATACAGGCCCATTATGTGTGTTTGTCAAACCAGATATAATTACTCAACCATGCAGGACTGGAACTGACTGTTTGTCCTATAAAAGTGAAATAAGTAGTGTAATTTGTCCATCAGATTGCTTGTTTTACCTTGTTATCAAGGAAGACACAGAAAACCAGTAACTATATATTATTATTTTCATTACTACATTACTTTAAAATCATTGTTGCTTATAAAAATGAAATGATAAAGAAGTTATAGAAATAGTTGCCCATTAATATTCTGTAGGTCGACACGTGAGTTGAAAATGTTTCCAACTTGAGGTAAATTCCCCGCATATGAATCCACTTTATAAACTAAATAAGACACCAGAGGAAAGGGTAATAGACTGGAGGGAAATAGGAGAAATAACTTTAGTTTCTAATTTCAATCAGAGGCCTAACTCAACACAAACTTCTAACTTACATACAGTTGGTACATTGGAGCAGCTAAATGTTGCAGGGGTCAATTTCGCGCAGATAATATGAGGAAATTCAAACTTTTCTTTGTGTCTGACAACACATGATTCATTCTAACTTGTTGAACATTTCATTTGTTGAACAATAGAAAGTGAGCAACCGTTTCTAGAACAGGTGACAAACACCACAGTCTGTTTGCAATGTGTCACTCCTGCTAACTGTCCATTGTTCTGTTTGATGGGTTTCTATTTAAGGTGTCGTCCTCTCTTCTTTGTGTCTGATTGTGGCTCCGGCCAGGCGGAGGACATTCCTAACTACATTCCTGTCCATTCATAACGCTCCACCCTGTCACGTTGTCTTCTGTGTGACGCGTACAGCTGTTTCCTTGTGCTTGTGTTTGTGTGTGTGTGTGTGTGTGTGTTTGTGTGTGTGTGTGTGAGATGGATGGGGATTGTTTTGACGTCATGTCTTCATGTGTCCTGCTGCAGAAAGTGATGTCAGAGATGCAGGCGGAGAATCAGCAGAGGCTTAAAGACAGAGAGCAGGAGCTGAAAGACATGAAGAAGATGATGGAGGGGATGAAGGTTGGTCGGCAGAGTTACACCAACTTTCTCACTGTACGTGTACTGTGGCACACTGAGCTTATCGCCTCTCCCCCTTCCTGCTCAGCGTTCGGCAGACAGGGTACATGGCGACACGGAGCAGGTGCTGTCCGAGCTGCAGCGCTCAGTGGAGCGTCTGCAGGAGCTGCTGGAGGAGCTGCTGGATCAGGCCGGCCTGGAGAAGATGGGCCACGCTCAGGAGGTCGCCGACAGCCTGGAGGCCGAGATCAAGGAGATGAAGAAGAGGGACACGGAGATGAAGGACCTGGTCCGTTGCGAGGACCACATCCACTACCTGCAGGTGGGTTGGACCAAGAAGTCTCCAGAAAGGAGGGTCTAATGAAAGGCATGATGGGAAATGCCTCCCTGGGGCATGCTGCCCTTTGTGGCATAATGTGTGCTCTGTTTAATGAACATTTTGCTTTTAAAGTTACATTTAAAGGTCCTGACTGCAGTCGCTTTCCCTAAAAAGTCAAACTAACCGCCATATTTCCTTCAGAAATATGAGACCATGTGCACTCCCCTGGAGACCAGCGACCTGCCCCCTGTGGTGGTCAATCCAGAAGCTTCCTTTGAGCCTGTACGAGACGCCATCCTGGACCTCAGGGACAGAGTGGAGGACCTGTGCAACCAGGAGCTGGGAAAGATCACCAAGCAAGGTCCGTTTCAAGAGTCTTTTTTTTGTCCCACCTTCTTTTCTGTTCATGTCTTATGTTTCTTCATCTTGTTGTCCCTTCTCTTGCAGTCAATGACACAACACTGTTCACTTTGGGAGACTGTAAGTACCAAGCATTTTCATTTTCAACATGAGCATAACAGGAGTTAGGTGTGATTACTTTTTGTTTAACAACAACTTCCTTTTTCCTCATCAAGCCAACCGCAACGCAGGACAGAAAGGAGGGATTTTTAAACGTGAGTCTGTTACTTTGTGTGAATATATTCCAGGACTGCACGTTCCACAATACTAAAAAGTCACGATTCAAACTGATTTCCCCTTTTTCTGTAGTGTTTTCTGGTCTGGGTTCTCGCAACACAAACAGCCGTCCGGCAGGTATGTCTGATGTTTTTAAGTCTACATTTATCGGCCTTTACTACATCTTATCAGCTATATCAGCTCTTATTTAAAGACATGTATTGTACACATTCTTTCTTTTATGTCTCACAGCTTCCACACCCACTATCTCAGTTGGAGCGCGGAGTACAGACAGACGAGGACTCGGTACTGTGCACTGACTCATTACTGATTCATTATAATATATGTGACAGTATTGAAAATAATTCAACATGCAGGCCTCGTTAAAAATTTTTTTTATTATTCAGGTATAGGCCTCAAAAGTCAAGACGTGAGGAGCAGAGACACACCACGAGGTGAGACTGCGTGTGTGTGCTCTTAAAAAAACCCTAACTTAATCTCAGACCTGCAGTGTGACTCACAACCGTGGTTGGAGCAGTAAAAATGTGTATGTGTGTTTTAAAACTGTGCTTCCTTGTAGCCGACAGAGGAAACACGAGCTCACCCAGACTTCGGGACAGACAGAGAAGAGAGGAAAGAGAGACAGGTAGATTTTGAAAACTTCCTGATAGCAATGTGGCTGTCTCTTTGCACACAGATCTGTGGGCACTGCACTGGTTTTAACTTCAGTTCACTTTACATGAGTGGAGTACCAGTGAAAATAGTTGAACAATGTCTTGGAGGCGGTGCTGTCTCAGCTTGTACTTGAAGGCAAGAAATGTACAACAGACCGCAGCCCTGATTTCACATGTCTTCCAAACAGTGAGGGAGACCAACAACAGACCTAGCCCCAGACCCAGCCCCACTCCCAGCCGCAGAGAGTCTCAGTCTCTTTGGAACAGGTCCAGTCAGAGCCAGGCTACAGCAGTCCCAACCCCAACTCCGACTCCAATCCCAGCCACCCCAGCTCCAGCTCCCACTCCGGCTCCAGCTCCGGCTCCGGCTCCGGCTCCTGCACCAGCATCAACTGGAGGTACAATACCAGCCTTTTTCCGGTTGCCATTTGCCACCACCAAGTGGCAAAACCTGTATAGTGCAGCTTTAACAAGGACTAAACGCTAATGCGAGAGTGTAACACCTTTACTTTCTTTGTCTTTCCCTCCTGGTTTGTTCAGGTTTCAGTCGGATGGCGTCAATCAGCAGCCTCTTCCGCTCCCATCGGCGTGGCACCAATCCGGCCACCCCAGCTACCCCGGCCAATAACACAGCGTCTGCAGGAGGAAACCCATGTAAGGCCTGACTCCACCTTCCATACTCTCCTCTTTAATCGCACTGTTAAAATCAGCTCAATATTCTGCAGTGGGAGGAAACAGAAAGAGAGGAAACAGGGCCTGAACAGAGCTGAGTGCCTTTTCACCCCACTATACTACATATTAATACATATAAGGACATGCAAGTTGTAAATAGCCATTTGATTTCGATGATGTGTTACAAACTAAGTGTGTGACTTGTGTACACTCAACAGGGGCGATGGCTGCAGTGCCTGAAACACCAACAGAAAGTAAGATGGCTGCCTTTAAATATACAACTTTACGGCTAACTAACATTCAGTCCTATCACTTTAACACTAGTATGTTTGTATATGTTATCACTCATGTGTCTAACATTGTTCCCTCATTGGACAGTTAACCCAGGTCTCTTCTTGGACTTGCCCACTCCCACCACCATGAATCACGCTCCTGCCTTCCCTGCATGTGAGTTAATGCCGGCTATTTTGAAACATTAACATAACTATTTGTAAAATGTGCATGAACTGACGTATGGTTTGGTTTTCCAGTGAGAGAAATCAGCATCGACAGCATTCAGGCCCCAGAGCCGAGGAGCAGGGAGGAGTTCCTACAGTGTGAGTCTCAGTGTTTAACTACAATATCACATATTAGTTGGGTCAGTAGGTCAACAGTAATTCCAGCACTTTTACCCAAATCACAGTCTTCATCAGCAGATAGGGTTTGCTCAGTTGTCAGCGAGATTGATCTGTGAATAATTGTTCATTAAATCCCCTTTCTAGACTCTGTGACCTTTACTCTTGACCCCACCACGGCCCACCGACGACTGGCTCTCTCCGAAGGCAACACTAAAGCCACCCTGCAGGGAGCGGTGCAGCCCTACCCCGACACACCCCAGCGTTTCGACGGCTGGACCCAGGTGATCTGCCAGGCCCCGCTGTACGGCCAGCGCTGTTACTGGGAGGTGGAGTGGAGAGGCCGGGGCTCCTCTATAGGTGTAGCCTATGGGGCGCTGAGCAGGAAGGGCTCCGACGCCAGGGCGGGGCTCGGTTACAACGCCCAGTCCTGGACCCTGGAGCTGTCGGACACCTGCTGCTCAGCCATGCACGACAACGAGAAGCGGGACATACCGGTCACCTACTCCCCCCGCCTGGGCATCTACGTTGACCTGTCCATGGGGACGCTGGCGTTCTACAGCGTGGCAGAGAGCATGACACACCTTCACACCTTCCGGGCCAACTTCACCCAACCGCTTTACGCTGCCTTCGGGGTAGGTAGTGGAGTCGGGGTGGGCCTGGACTTTGCCCTCGGCCAGTTCAGCTCCAGCTCTGACAGCATCAAGATCTGTCCCATGTGAGGGTGCAGGCTGGAATCACTGATTGGCTACATCAACAACTTTAGAGATACAGGAAGTGTTCACGCTGATCAAACTCATTGGGAAGTCTCAGGCACATTGACTGAAAGCTTTTATAAAATGTGGTCGTACCTGATCTCTTTTTTCATATTTTAAATGCACTTTGTGAAACACAAACAGCAGACACTGTATTGTTTACAGCCTGCTGGTTGGTCCACCACTTTGGTCCAGACTGAAATAATCTCAAAATCTATTGGATGGATGGAGTTTGTAGAGACGTTGTTGGTCCCTGAAGAATGAATAATAATGACTTTAATGAACTCCTGACTTTTCCTCTAGCGCCATCATTCAGTCAAAAGTTGAATTTATTCAAGACTTGGTTTATGGCCATCAGTATCATACAATACTGATTACATTCTCATCAGCCTCAGCTGTACTTTATGTTTAGTGCTAATAAGCCAATGTTAGCATGCTAAGCTAAGATGGTTAACCTGGCAAATAGAACCTGCTATAGATCAGGTTCATCCAAGTTTCCACAAAGCCAGAAAAATTATTGTTCTTTACCAAACAAGATTTATTTTCAGTTTTAGACCAAAAACTCTGTATACTGTACACCGAAGTGACATTTTTAATGTTTTCACCCAAATCTGCAATAAAAACAATAAATATTCTGTATGCGACGTCTGATGAACCAATTTTCTGTTTTTCCATCAAATGTGAGCAACAATGCACCAGTCAGTGAGTCAGTGGCTTTGTTTCCATTGGTTTATTTTAAAAAAGAGGCAACTGAATAATAGCCATGAGTAGTTTACAGAGGATCATGAAGCCAAAGAAAGACACAAACCTGAACCTCCTGTTTTACTGGGAAACAGCGGATATGACAACTACAAGAAGAAATGAACAGTCTGGATGTGCTCTTCTCTCCATTCCTACCACAAATGAAACTGAAGCTCTTCCTCCTTTGTTAAATACGCTATCGCAGAATATGCAACACATGTACACATGTGTAAGCCAGAGTATTCCATCTCTTCAAAATAAAACTTTTGGCTTGATTTGGATTCCCTTCTGTGGGCCTCTACACGTGGAAAGCAAAAAAAAACCCACAAAGATATTGCTACATATATTAAAATCTTATGTCAAAATGTTAGACATTGTTACAACAGGCACACATTATGCTTAACTTTCTCGTTAATATGTTAGGATCTATATAGTGATGTCAGTAAAACAAAGGTTAAATATAAAAGTAAAAGTGCAGTAGCTGAGTGGGGTGGGGGGGGTCTGGTTGGATTGATGAGTGTTATAGACAGCAGCACTGGGTTGAAGGGTCACAGGGGTCAAGCACAAAGCTCTATGCTTCCTACATGATATTATAAAGTTAATAACTTTTATATGCTGGCCCACAGGAATAGCCCCACCTGCTGGCCAGTGTGTGAACCACCTATGTCCTTGAGACACGTTTTAAAAACACAGAAAATAACCACATATAATAAACCTGGATGTGATACACAACTCAAATAATGTGTCAATGGTTTTTCCCTCTTAACAGATTGAACCTGAACGTCCCACGGGCCTAAGAACTGAAATGATAAAATTTCCTTTTTTTTTCCAACTAAAAAGGCCCCAGGTCGTGGTGAAATGTTTTCAACCAAGCAGTGATCCTCAAAATAACACAAACTCAACCTCCAAATCCCACTGAGTGCAACTAATATATATATATATAAACATGGCTTAACAGGAACACAAATCACAAATCAAAAACAGTGCTGGCTTCTACTTAAGGCCTCATACCATTAAAAACACAGGAAACACAAGGACCTGAAGCAAAAGGCAGACCCATTCTTTCTTCAAAGCCTGGTGTCTGTATGGTTCTGACCTCGCCTTCAGCCTGGCCCCACCCGTCTGCCAACAGGTGCATGCTGGGACCCGTAGGCAAGGCCCGCTTTTTGACGTGTCATGCAGACGCTTGCAGGAGGCGGGGGGGGAGCACGGCACATGGACGGTCACCGGACATCCGTGCAAAACAATGGACTACTGTAAAATCATTATAATATTAATACTGGCATGTTAAGAGCATGGTCTGACTACAAGATTAGCCTGGCAGTGTGCCGTTAAGCCAGCTAGCACTTAAAAGTCTAGTCAGTAAGTAATAAAAGTATGTTGTTGAATCCCTTCTCTGACTGTAAGAGTTTTTATTTGCAGATGATACTGTTTTATTACAGACTAAAGCTTTCCAACCCACTACTGAACAAGCCCTTGAAATAGCAAGACTCTGGATGCTCAGTCTTTCTCTCACTTACTTTCTCTTCTGACATTAATAAACATGCAAAGACTGCACTCTCCTTTCTTTTTATACCCTCATCTTCTTGTCTCACCCACATCCACAAACCTTCTTTCACTTGCATTTCGTCTCTTCCCGCCCCCCACCTTCTCTACCTGTACCTGAACATCCAGAGCCTCACAGAGAAACTACACAACCTAAATAAGATTCATACACGACTGAGAAGGAATCGGGAGCTGAATAACCCACTCAGAGGCAAGCTAAGGCCTCAATAACTAGCATCATGGTATACATCTACACACACAGACACTGCGGTATCACTAAAAACAGTCAGTTTAGTTAAATTGTGCTTTAAAATTAAGTCAGAAAAAGGAGGGATCATTCTGCCCACCAGATGCCCTGACTGCTCTCTCCAAAAGGCAGAAAGGAGGAGAGATGAGGGGAGGATGAAGAGGGTGGAGGTGTAAAAGATGCGTTCATGTTCTGGAGCGTGTGCCCTTCTGGTCCTTACACCTCTTCCCCTCAGCGTTTGGATGAACTCGACGGGAAATGGGAGACAGAGGCAAGATGCCGGCGCCGTTCTTTGAGGTTTCCCCAGGGTGGTGGGGGGAGGGCCAGGGAGGTTGGGTGAGGAGGGGGTGTTGGGTTACCAGATGACTTCCCCGCTCGCGCACCAATCATCGCCGGGAGGCTCTGGTTGCGCCTCAGGCCGTCCAATAGGCTTCCTCCGCTTGCTGACACGAAAGTAGCAGAATCCTGGCGTGGCACTGAGGCCTCTGACTCTGCACCCTGAAGCACCTTGGTGAATCCCAGCCGCCGCAGCCTCTCCACTAGGCCAACGTTGACTAGGTCGGGCCTGGCTCTGCCTGGCTTAAAGGACGGGACGAGGGCTGGGGTTTCCTGGGAAGAGCTCGGTAGGTCAGGATGTGGTGCACGGCCCAAATTCAACCCGTAAACGTCCTGGAGAAAAAGCTCTGCTGGCCGCGACGCTAGGAAATTGTCAGCCGGGTGTTGGCGGGGCTCCATCGGCACCGGGGAGGGAGCAGGCGAGTGTGAGGGGGAGTTAGGGGGTGTGCTTGGGAGGAGATGGAAGAGGGGCTGCCGGGATGTGGGTTTCGGGGATGAAGGGGGGGTGCCAGTGGAAACTTGTGCAGAAATGCCTCTCTCAAGAACCAGCTTGGCCAGGCCGCAGGGAGGCGCAGAGGGGCGTCGAGGGGGAAATGAGTCACCCAGACTCAGCCTGCAAGGAGTCACAGGGGTACTGGGACCTGTCCTCATGGAGCTGGGTGTGTTGGCCAAGAGGCACGACTGAGAACTGAAAGACATGAAGACAGAGACAGGGTGAGGAAAAGAGAGACACGTGGTAGCTATGTAATAATAAAAAAAGAAATTACATAAAAGTTCTATTTGTCCTTTATAGAGGACTTACCTTTGGGTGACCTGTGTGATGTCACTGGGGTGCAGGATGCGACACGTTGTGAAGGTGTAGGTGGAGAAGGTGGAGCTCTGACACTTGCCTGGATTTTGGACTGAACACACAACATATCAAGTAATGAGAAAAACAATGTTACTCGTCATGGCAACAATGAGCAGTAATATCTTCACATTGCACACTAGCATATTCTATATTTATGTTTTATTTACCAGAGGAAGATGTTGTTGTTGATGTCGAGGTGCAAATGACTTGAGTTTGTGATTGGACCGTTGTTGTGCAGACAGCTGGTGTGGGCTGAGATGATAGGCTGGATTTCTCAGTGAGGTGTTGGGGTGCGGGGGTCATGCAGAGGGCTGATGGGACTGAGGAGGAGGTGGCAGGCGTCCCAGGTAACGTCGGCAGGGGGGGCAAGAGAGGCGTGACAGGGAGAGGCGACACCGAATGCTTTCTGTCCTTCCTCTCCTCCGGCGTAGATGAAACGCGCACCTTGAAGGTGATCCCGCCTTCCTCCTCTTCCTCGTCCTCTGCTTCCTTACCCCGCTCTGACGCCCCCTTCTCCAGGGCACCAGTCCCTCCGTGCTCTTCATCCTCCTCGTCCTCTTCCATGTCGGACAGGCGGTAGACCGCATCCTGAACCAGCGGGCAGAAACCCTTGGTCACCACCCCAGGGTGGGGGTCCAGGATGGTGGCCAGGTGTGGTTTGGCCAGCTGCTGCCAGTGATGGAGCGTCAGAGAGCCTGAAAGGAATGTCACAATGATACGGTTTGATGGATCAATGAGAAACGTTGTTACAGTCACATTTTACCTGTTGTCCTTTTGCACAAAGCAGCCAGGGATTTTTGAAAATTATAAATGACCACAGCATTAAAAAGAGTTTATTTCCTGGAGTCATTTTTCATTGCACTTTTATAGGAGATGAAAATGGTAACATACCAGCTCTTTGTAAGTTAGAAACTGACTTAGCTGTTAGTAGTTAGTTCAATCTTAGCAGTACCAGGTTTACTAAATGGAGAAGTTACGCATCACTAATTAAAAAGTAGTAATCAGTTGTCACTAAATACATATATCTACCCAGTTACTGCTTTCAGACATTTGACTTGTCTAAGTTGAAGAGTAAAAGTGATACTATAGAACACGGTCTGACCTAAAATTTGACAAAAATGCTGTTTAATAATCATAAATAAATAATAAACACTACACTGTAGGCTATAAGTCAAATTACAAAACATTATGCCAATAACATCAGCTTAAATGATCAAATATCTACGAAGATATATTATCCATGTATGTAGATATGAATATAAATAAGTAAATAAACAATAATAAACACCTACGCTTACAAAGGATTCCTAACAACCGATTTACACATTAGTTAAGACATTTCCATTTTAGCAGTGCAACCAAATTTAGTGAATTACTGGATCTTTTTGGGTTTGGGACTATTTAAAAGTAATTGAAGATAGTTAACAGTGGTGATGGGGATGTTTCACTATTTAGTAGACATGCATAAAATATCTAATAGACCAAACAATTATGATTACAAATTTACAAGCCATTTGTACTCCTACTTTGGGTGCGAGTGCAGGCCCCTCAAATCTGAATATTTTGTTGACCCAGAGGGAGCCAGTCAGTCACTATGCAGCTCAATGCATTAAGAAATCTGTCCCCAATAATTTTGCCCAATTTTCACAAGAGACCGATGCGAAGCTGATGTGACAGAGCCTGAAATTGCTCCATCTAATGAAGGAACGCCGTTAGAGTAGTGTTACATTGATGCACTGCAGCATGCAAACTCTATGTGACATCGCTGGCTTCTTGGTTCAAATTTAATCAGTTACGCAACAAACTGCTCTCGACAGCTGCTCCGCTTTAGGACTGCACAGCTGGATAGATAACCTTACCTTCCATGGGCTTGACGATCTGTAGCTTCTCAGGCAGGAAGGTCTTGAACACGCTGGAGCCGAAGG